CCCGTTATTGGTATATACCCCGATGTTCTTAAAGGCACGCCAAAAGGAACACATCCATTTGGGGGATCCAACCTTAACACAGACAGACCCAGTAGGTGACACAATCGATCATTAGCGAGTGAAGGCTCGTGCACTCATCGCCCGCCGGGAGGAACATCTGAGAGCAGACTTGGTTCCTTTGTGGATCTGCAAGGGAAGGGGTCAACCTGGACCCTCAAACTCCTCTTTGTTTTTCTCAAATGAGAAAACACAACACCAACCCCATGTTTTTTTCGGGAAATTTAGAGGGTCCAGGCACATAGCTCAGGTACGTACGCCTTAGCGAATTGGACTCCGTTCGCCAGGTCTCCAGCTTCTCGATGTCCAACTGGCGGCAGTCCGGCCAGGCCTTTCGCTTTGAAAAGCGATGGGGTCGATGCGCCAAAACCGGGGGAGGGGGGGTTGTCCAAGCCAAGTGCTTCCAGCTGCTCTAGGTAGCAAGGGTTTCTCGCCTCTGGTTCAATTTGTTAGTTCCTCACCTCCTTTTTAGACTGCAGCTTTTGGTGGTTTCTCAAAATAGGTGGATTTGCTCTGACTCCCCTTTGCTCAGCCATTTCAAGGGGGGGGGCCGATTCCTTTGGCCGAATCCAAAAGGCGGAAGTACGCGCCCATGAGGCCGCGCTGCAGCAGCTGGCTCCCTGGCTCCAGAAGGCGCCCATGAGGTCCAAGCTCGAGGGTGTCACTTGGTGGCTCCCAGCGAGTCATCCGGTTCCTTAGCCTTTTGGCCTTTTAGTGTTTAGTGGTAGTGTCCATTTAACCCACTAAAAGTTAAGCTTTTAGCGGGGGATCTGAGGACAGCCCAGACTTGAATGGACCCAGTAAGAGCTTGTTCGAACTGAGTCGATTGAACATGTGACAGGTTTGGCAGAACCCCCAGGTTTCACTCCTATAGCCTGAGTCTTGGCAAGCTTTTCCCGGTTCTTCAGTGGCACCATTGTTGTGTCTCTTGTTTGGTGGGTTGGGGACCCCGAACTTGAAACCCACAGGGTTCTGATTTTGAGCGTCGCTGGCCATTCGAGGGGTTCAGTTGAGTAAGATTCAGCATGGTACCCTCCCACAAGCTAAGTGTGATCATGCGCACACCTCTTTTGGAAGACTGCATTCCTTCTGGAAAGGTTGCCCGGTAGGAGGGCACTTGCTGTCTTGCTTGCTTGCTTGGTCGGCTTGCTTGATAGATTGATCGGTTGCAAAGCAATGCGAATGAGCATGTTGCAGAATCTGGTGAATGAAGCCCAAAATCACGAGCCCCAAGCGGAACAGTGGTATATAATATGAATTGTTCTTTTTCTCAGATGGTGTTATTTTGCCTTTTTCTTTTGGGTACGGTATATGCCCCAACTAGTGCAAGTAGGGCAACAAGGTAGAGGATATTGCTAGGGTGTTAATGTCGGATAGCGATTAGAACATAGAGAGGCAATAATTACCGGGACCCACCCTGAAGAAGTTGAAGAGGAGAAAATGCAGACAAGTGCTTAGTTTTGTTTGGTCAGAAAACCTATGGCTGCCCCTCGCTGGTGAGAAAGCAAAATGAACATGACTCAAGCCTTCCCCAGCAAGGCCCTTATTTTCCCAGGCCACTTTTGCCACATTATGAGCTAGTGGGTAAAGTGGTTGGAAAAAGGTAGCCACTTAGATTTCCAGGTACACCCAACACCCACCTGTTTTTGCCATGGAACTTTATTTGTACTTGCCGAGCGGAAAGAGCTGCTCTATTACGTTGTCGTCGGCGTCGAGGGTCCACGATGTGAAGACTGAGGCACAGAAGCAGTTGAAGCGGCGCTTTTTGAGGCTTGCTTTCAGAGGTCAGCAGCTGGATCCCTTGGATTATTTGAGTGACGTGGGAGTGCGAAATGGGGACAGCATTGATGCGATCGTGCTGCCTGTCAACCTCACTTCTACTCGTACAGCATTTGCACTTTTCGTCACTGGCGGCGCAGCGCTTACATGGGGCAAACGTGGAAATGGTGGCGACAGCAGCCAGGTGCGAGAGCAGTTGGTGCGGGTCCAGCAGATCCAAGCAGCTTCTGAAGCTTTTGCTGCAGTCCTGCACGACGGCTCTGTGGTGACTTGGGGCAATCAATCATGTGGCGGAGACAGCAGCCAAGTGCGAGAGCAGTTGGTGAGGGTCCAGCAGATCCAAGCAACTGCCTTTGCTTTTGCTGCTATCCTAGACACCGGCTCTGTGGTGACTTGGGGCAAACCTGCCTGTGGCGGAGACAGCAGCCAGGTGCGAGAGCTGTTGGTGCAGGTCCAGCAGATTCAAGCAACCCGGACTGCCTTTGCGGCCATTCTAGGCGACGGGTCTGTGGTGACTTGGGGAGACCCTACCTCTGGCGGCGACTGCAGCCAGGTGCGAGAGCAGTTGGTGCGGGTCCAGCAGATCCAAGCATCCCATCGCGCTTTTGCTGCCATCCTGGACGACGGCTCTGTGGTGACTTGGGGCAATCAATCATGTGGCGGAGACAGCAGCCAGGTGCGAGCGCAGTTGGTGCGGGTCCGGCAAATCCAAGCAACTCATCGCGCTTTTGCTGTCATCTTGGATGACTGGTCTGTGGTGACTTGGGGCAATCGATTTTGTGGGGGTGATAGCAGCCAGGTGCGAGAGCAGTTGGTGCAGGTCCAGCAGATGCAAGCAGCTTCTGAAGCTTTTGCTGCCATCCTGGACGGCGGCTCAGTGGTGACGTGGGGTTATCTTGGCGGTGCCGGCAGCGCGGTTCGAGAGGAGTTGTCACACGTTCAGCAGATCCAAGCAACTGACGATGCTTTTGCTGCCATCAGGGAGGACGGCTCTGTGGTGACCTGGGGCCATCCTGCCTGTGGCGGAGACAGTCGCCAGGTGCGAGAGCAGTTGATGGGTGTCCAGCAGATCCAAGCAACGCGGACTGCTTTTGCTGCCATTCTAGCCGACGGCTCTGTGGTGACTTGGGGCGATCCTGGCTGTGGCGGTGACAGCAATCTGACTCAGACTCAACTTGACAGGTTGTGAGACCAAACGCCTGGTCCAATACAAACACTGCGGGGTTTTCCTTTCTGGGTCATGAGCCTTCCGGTGAGGAGCATTCAGACCAATTCTAAGCCAATCCTGAGCCAGTAAAACAAAATGAAGCCCCAAACAGCGGAACTTTTTATGACATCCTGTACTAAACCAGCCGCCCAGACATATTTTCAGGAGGGTGGGAGAAGGAAGCCCTGAACAGTTAGTAATACATGTTCAAGGGAAGGAATCGAGAACAGAACTAGCTGGGCCAGTAAGAGGAATGCTAGGCAAATGCTAAACCAATTCTCCCGAAGCAGTGTAAAGGGATTCTAAACCAATACCACACCAATACTAAACCAATTCTAAATAGTACTGGGCCAGCTCAGAGGAATACTATAGGAATACAAAAACAAATCTAAGCCACCTATTATGAGAGACTTTTTTGGTTTTTCACTTTTGACCCCCCCTCCTTTTGTTTTTTGTTTGGGGGGGGCTTTACCAATCACTCCCTCACATTATGGGGAAACCAAACATAGGCTTCACATATGTTGTCGTTTGGAGGTTAGGGGTTACGACGGAAGTCGATATTCTGGGCGGACCTGAGCACCACCGAGACAAGAGCGAGTTGGAGACTTGGCTGAAGAGGGTCATTGCCAGCAAGTAACCTCTGAATCACCTCCCTCCCGCAATCATGTGGTTGTCTTTTTTAGCCTGCCCCATGTTTATGGTTTTAAAGGTGAGCCAACAGGAGAACCGCCTTTTTCTGGGTTCCCTAAAAGCACCACGCGCCCATGCAAGCTGACGATCGGAGGCTGTTGGGAAAATACTTTGGCGAAGCCCTTGGAATCCACTGGAAGCAGAGCAACCCTTGGTGTCAAATAAATGCACGAGCTACATCTGACAAGGGGAACAAAGGAACATGCTACAACAGGGCGTGGTTGGAGGTCCGTTTCGCAATGAATCGTCATGGAACCGCCAGGCCATGCAAGGCGTAGATTTTCACTGGCTCTTCTTCGTGCCGGGAGCCTCGGAGCCGCTCTTCAGTCTTGGGATACCTTTTTGTTTGGTGGGTTTCCCACTTGAGTCAAACCCATAAGGTCCCATATGTTCCACTTGTGTCGCATGGGTCACTGCTTGCAACTAAATCCTGTGTCTTGTGTGCCAAGTTGGCTGAGTGTCTTTGGGTCAATGGTTGCAACAACAATCTTTGGAACTTGATCCCAGGGTTTGTTGGGTTCCGCCAGGCTCATTTGGATCGCCGCGAACCCCTCCGTGTTTGCCGTCGTCATCATTGGACGCCGCTCCTTGTGGCACTGCTGGCGCAACGCTTTGCTCGGTCGGATTGAGCCAATCCCGTGGTTTCGAGCCTCGACATGACCAAACCAGGGTAGAAATTTGGTGAATGCCAATCCAAACGATGAGATGTGGTTCAAACGATAAACACGAACAGGTATGAAAGCTTAGTTTGGCTACCTTTGGTTTTAATTGAAGGACCAAGTGTCTACCTGGCTTGTGAGAGGGTCTTGGGAGCTTCCCTGAATCTAGAGCCGAGATCCCGGGGAGGTGTGTCATCGATGCTGGCTGTGGGAGGCTGTTAGACTTTGCATGTGTATCACTCCAGCCAACGCATGTGGGTATGAATGTTTATGTGGAACACCCTCCCAAATGATTAGTGAACCAAACAAAAAAGTACCTAAGTGATGTCCCCGTGCTCCTTTGAAATTCACACCCATGTGGCAAGATGCCCATATTGCGTCGGTGCAAGGTTCCGAGCGCGCCAGCAGTTTTGGCTTTAGATGTGCATCGGCATGTCATACTGCAACAAGCTTTGGTTGCGAAGACGTGGCTGTGACCTTGAATAGGGAACCCCCTCAAAACTAACCGGTGAACACAGGTTCCCATGGAAATGATCCAAAACCAAAGAGTGCCCAGTTCAAGTTAACTGCCGCAGATCTCAAGGACTTGAAACAAGACAGATCGCTGAAGCGGGCCAAAGACAGCCTTCGGAAGCTCGATTTTGCTACTCGATTTTCCACGTCGGATCATGGATTTCGACGACCTGGACGCTGAGCTGCCAATAAGAGACGCAGGGTCGGTCCGAAATGAGCTTGGCTCCCCGCTACATGCTATGTGTCCGGTACACTAAGGACTTATGGGAAGGTATATACAACCAGGATCAGCCATTTCTGCGACGAAGCCCCCGCTCACGAGCAGTCGGCAAACAGGTGTGATTTGGGGTTTATGTGAGTACAGGAACTTGTCCGCACTCTTTTTTCACCTCCAAGTGTCAATTTCATTGGGGATGTGATTCAGACAAGTTGAAGGCCGTGAGCGCAACGTCACATCAACCAGGGGCGTAAAGCGAGATGTCAATATCGCCCAAAGACTCCAGGCAAGCCATTGCAGTAGCTAAAGTGGATATTTAGGGGAAACCATCAATGGCAAAGCCTGAGGTAAATGCATACCCAGTTACCTAAAGTGGACTGCCTGGAAGCACTGGTTGTGGGCTCAAAATTGGAGCCTTGTGATCCGGCAATCGGATTTGAATCTAGTGACCCCTGTGGGTTGGTATTGACCCCTTTGGGTTGGTATTTACAGGCCCACAGAAAGGAACAAACCATTTATTTTGGCGTTTGGAGGGAATCCCAAATTTTTGGAGACCTCAAATATTGGACCAGACCTTTCCGAAGCTGTTGCTATCTTGGAGACTGCGAGAAACAGTTTGGGTATACCGAGGGGTACCCCTTAGACCCGGGTTGTTTTTGGGCGACCAGGTTATCAGCTTGCCCCGAATTGGTGGTGGTATGGAAGTTAGGGGCTGGTTTCCCATTCGCCCTCTAGAACCAGGGATTCAAGTTCTCAAATCCAAAGCACCAATTTGGCCGGAAGAGCTCCCATCATGGACTTGAAGCCATGCTTGAATCCCAACCCAGGTCTGTTATTTCGAGAAGCCTCAAGCTCTGTTAGCTGAGTAAAGTGAAGTGGGCAGCGCGGAAACCAAAGGACCTGGAGTCTCCATGACCCTTTAACAGTGGGTCCATGACCCATTTCCTTATTTTGGGTAATGACCCACCATATTTCACTCCAGGCTGACGGTTCCAGGGGACTTCTGCAAAGCAAGCTTCTACACCGAAGGACCTGTAAAACCGGGTCCATGACCCATTTCTTTATTTTGGGTATTTTTCTTCTGACCAAAAGACTCCAGCGACGCGTTTTCCGCTTTCCGCGATTTCAGGACGAGGAGGAGCAGGTGGCCAGCAAGGCCGAGGAGGAGAAGCGCGCGGCGGAGGAGGAGAGACGCGCCGCTCAGCTGGGCTCGGAGGAAATTGGGGCTGCCGGGGGGGGAGGGTGAGGGCTTATGTGGCCAGGTCCCCCAGTCTCGCACCAGGGTGAATGAAGCAATGGGAAAGAAACCGTAAAATGGTTTTCGCGACCATCCATAGTACTTAGGGGGGTTGAACGTTTTAGTGGCACGGGTTCAGACTTTTTGTTGGCCAGTTCACTGAAGCGCCAACCGCAACCGCCTGGGTTCCGGGGCCTTTCAAACTCGTTGAACCCAGCCGTAACAGGGAAGATCCATACCCCACGAAGCAAGGAACGGCCGTGCAAAGACGCAAAAGCTTTGAGCTGTGGACACGTCCAATTAACCCCAGACGGGCATGCTCTGCACGCTGGACGGGAGGAGCTGTCGAACTCCGAAGCAAGCTGTTGCCATTGGGAATTCCTGTCTCCTTCTTGGAACCCACTTCGGTTGTACCGTTATGATTAGGACGCCTACAGCCTTTTATGCACCAGAACGAACCGGGCCCTAGCTCCGCCGCGCCGACCGAAAGAACGAGGCCGCTGCGGCTGCAGCACGGCGGGAGGCCAGAGGGATATGGCCATGGCCAGAGGGAATGTTTGAAGCAACCAAAAGGCAAGCGTTGGAGGTTTTCGGGTAGACCACATTTTGGCGGGAGTTGTATTACACTTTGGGACTGGGAAAGCATGCGGGGGAAGTGCTCTTTGGGACACCTTGTTAGTTCGGACTAGTCTGGATACATGATAACCTGGCTGCGTGAAAGCCAAAGACCCACTGCAGTGAAGGGAACTATCGGGTGCAAGGGCAGCACCTCTTGCATGGGAGGGACTTCGGGTATCTGGAAATTGTCTGAAAACCTGCGATGCCAGTTTGGGTTTATTGGTTTTGGCCTGGCCCTTCAAACGGAAGAGCCAACCAAAGTCCATCATCAGTTAGTCCAAAGATTGCCCTCAGGCCGCCGAGCGCATCGCGGCCGAGCGGGCAGCAGCTGACAAGGCAGCTGAGAAAGCGCCGGAGAAAGCGCCGGAGAAGGCGCCTGAGAAGGCGCCTGAGAAGGCGCCGGAGGCGCTGAAGACGAATGGCGTGAACGGGAACGGGAACGTCGCCGAGGCGGGAAGTTATGCGGTACACCAAGGTAAAACAAGGAAACATGCTTGGGTGAGACATTTTGCAGCAAAGTTGACTGTTCGTCATATTGTATTACGAGCCACTGCTAGTTGGTGACTGTTGGGTGATAAATTAAATTCAGAAATTCAGCAGCAAGCAAAGCTGACGGATCTTGGGAGAATCAATCAGGCCGTCAGGCCCTGACGCAGCATCACAATGGGATCACGGTGAAGCATTTGAGCTGTGCAGTGGAACCCTGGCCCAGTTCTCCCCCGAAATCAATCCTTTTTGTTTCCTTTCTTGGGGGAAGGGTGTGCCTTTGAGACAAGTAAACCCAGTGTCAACAATAGGGATTTGGTCTCTTGGACCCTTCAAAATGTGTTCCTTTTGCGTTGTTCTCTTCAAGCCAACCCAACAAGGTCGCCCATGTGTTCCCAGGAAATCCCCACGAAGCCTGGCATTCCACCATCCTTTTGCAAGGACCCGGAGCTGTGGGAGGTCGTGGGCGGAGCCGGGCCCTGAGGCAGTTGATGGATGAAACCTTGGGTTTCCCCTCCACGGTTTTTTTCAGGAATACCCATCTCTCGAATGGTTGATGGACCACTTGAGCCCCACACTGATGTCCACGACAGGGTGACCAATTGAGATTCACACACTTTTGTTTTTTCTTGGTAATGACACCCGGTAATGACACCCTGATTGTGGGACGCGGGGTCTGTTGAACCCCCTGGTACAAGTTGATTGACAACCCCAACCCATACCTCATGCGCCACGGCCTTGCGATCACTTGTATTGTTGGGTACCTTCCATCACAGGTGTTGTCCTTTTTTTTAAAGATGGCTTATTTGGTCAATGGGTGATGCATAGGCTTGGGCCTTGGCCTAGAGGTATGTGAGAATATGCGCTCAAACTTGGTTGTGAGGTATCAGAGGCGTTTGCGCGAATCTGCCAATCATAGAGACTTGCTGAGCTTGCAATATGAATATTCCTTGGATACTTGGTTGTTGCTTTTGACTCACCAGATCAATGGCGTAGGACCCGGCAAAATTGGGCAAGCTCATGAAACTGAGAAACTGCAGACTTGCTTGACACATGTGAGCCCACCGTTGCATGGGGGACGCTTGTCAGATTCTGGGATTGCGGGGCGTGCTAAAGTCGAGTACCCAGAAACGTAATGTGTGAGGCAACTCAAAGTGAGTCACTGCAGGTTGGTTCTGTGAGTTGTCCTCTAAAATCCATCCAACATGGGGCTCAACCCACCTTGATATGGACGTAAGTATAAACAGTGATAAGTGTTACAGGTCAGTCAGCTCCTTGGATGTGGGATCACTTCCCCTGTTTCTGGACTTGGAGCCTTCTGGAAAGATCATGTTGGCTGACAAAAGTCTGGACTTGTTCTGACCAGTTCACTCAGGGAGCGGGGAAATGGACAGGTGGTAGCTTATTTCATTCCCTGTTGCAAAGGTCAAGGGACATGAACTTGTGATCCCGCGATTTCATGTTGGGGGGGGTTTAAACATCACCTCTTTGGCCCATAGGTGAGTTTCCCTTGAAGGTGATGTTTTGAGGGAACATATTTGGATCTTCGCACCGAGGCGGACAAGGGTGGCATCATGGTGCGAGAAGGCACGGAGAGTTGCCGGAGAAGCCGGCTGCCTTCGCACCTAAGTTACCTTGGACCCTTTGAACTTCTGTCAACAGCCCGCAACGTGTACTTGGAACATTTAAGGGGCTGTGGTGGGCGCCGTTTTGGGGCGAAGGGGGGGGGGTTGCTTTGAAGGCAACCGACTGGAACATGGTTTGGCTCCCTTTCCAACAGGAAGTCGGGTTTAAGGTCGAAGGTGCTCCATGCTGATAGGGTACCCACGGAGAAACCGTAGACCTTACACTTCCGAATCAAGCATCGCCCTCCTGGAAGATTCCTAGAAGTTCCTGTTAAAAGGACCCAGGTGCCACGGCGTGGGAAGCTCAGTTCTTCGTCCTGAAGAGACTTGGCATGTTGCGCCAGTGTGCCAGATGTGCCCAACAGGAACCAGGAAGAACATGGAAGAAGAAAAAGAGAAACAAGCACAGAGTCGCTTGAGCTGCATGGCTACGGTTTACAACTCCATGTTCAAGTTTTGAAGCCCTTGTACCCTTTGTTGTTTGAAAGGGACACCCACAGGACACCATCAACCATTTGGTTCCCCCGGGCAGAGTTCTCTTCAGTTCGCCCATATATTCGGATCCTCGAGGCTTCAAAGCCGTTTGGGCAATCTAACATTTTAATTTTCAGGGAACAACCAAAATTACGGAATTTCTAGGGATGGTCCAAGGGGAGGTTCCCCAAAAGGCTCCCTAAGGAACGCAAGGGAACCCTCAGGCACCTTAGGGCTGTCAGCTACTCACCCCAGTTGTACCTTCCCCCCCTTAGAAAAAGGAACAAACCATGGTCAAAGGCAGGGCCAGCGTCTCTTTTTGGGATCTCGCCGCTGCCAGGCGAGAGCACCTCTTCCACCCAGAAGTCCGAGCGATTGTCCACGGGTGCTGTGGTGGAGCAGCTGGCCCTGAAGGGCGATCGCCTGAACTACAAGCTGCAGCGCCTACCTCAGTCATTCCATGCGTCACCCCCTCTCGATTTTCCCTCTGCATCTTGTGTTTTGAGAATCGATCTGTTAGTGGGATAAGTAAGTTGTTCAGCTAGGTAGGGACACCTCCAGAAAACCCACATGTTTCTTCTGTTTGAGACACCGCACATGATGAGCCTGCCGGTCCCGGACCTCTGGCGCTTTGTGTGTTTGTTTTGGGTTTGGAGGGCTTTGGGTGTGTCCGGTTTTTAGGGTACCATTTCTTTGGTGGTTTACAGGGAACCCAAAAGGTTCCCTAAAAAAAGACAGCCCAACATATACCGCTGGGCATACTCACTTCTCCATTTCGGCCTTGTTTTCTTTGTTGGCCACTGCACCCAGCAAGCAAGCGAGTTTACGAAGAGATCACCAAAGCTCCAAGTGAGATGCTGCCCCGCACATGGTCATTTGCTACGAAATGTGTTTCTCATATTTGGTTGGGACCCAACGCTGGTTGGTTTCAAGCACATCCTTTCGGGCTGCCTTACCCATGAGACCCGCCGAGCCGTGTCGAGTCGAGTCGTGGCTCAGGAAGGGCAGCGGGCCCTCTGAGGGCTGGGTCAGCGTGAAGCTGACGGGCAAGGACCTGGTGGTGCCATATCTCGAGATGACTGAGCGCCTCGAATCGAATTTCCGAGAGCTGTTACCATTTGTTGCCCTTCCGAGGTGTGTATGCAGTTGGGAACCTGTTGATAGTTTGATCAGAAATAGATGGGTTCCGGCTTGGATTGGTTTTAGAAGCCATGTACCAGGGCCATCTACTTTACCAGAAGGACACTAATATATGTGTATGGAGAGTAAGACTGCCCCTTTGAAGGACTGGCTCTCTTTTCAGGTACTCCCGAGTCTGCGTTCGCACGAAAAGGACAGAAGGAGACGAAGCGGAATGCTTGTCGTGTAGTCTCATCTACCGATCTTTCTCAAAGGCAAGAGGGGATGGATGGTAGAACCCATTTGAAGCCACCCAAAGTGGTGTTTTTAACCCATGTGGGGTCGGCAGGTGTTTTCTTTCCCTTGAGAGCCTTTTGCCTTTTTGGTTCCTCGTCGCCGTAGCCCATCGGGCCGTCGGGCCGTCGGGCGAAGGAACGGGCCAAAGAGACGGCCGCCGGCTTGGAAGGTGGTGAAGCAACCGCAGCGCCTCGGACTGGGCGCGGCGCGGGGGTCCGGGGGTCCCATGCAGTCATGCCTTTGTGGCGGTCGAGATGTGGGTGTGGGTCAAAATTAAACCACCAGGGGACTACAGGTTTTGGTCCATGTTTCCACTTGCCAGGGTTCCATGTGGGGTGCCTACTTTTGACCCACAGCCATGTAGACAGTCGCCCTTTTGGGCTCTTGAGCCTAAGAGATGAGTCTGGCCTCGCCGTTTTGGAAGCAGAAGGCAAAGCCAGGTCCCCGGTCAGTTTGGTTGAACATGCCAGCAGTTGGGCGCCGCTATCTTTCTTTGGCTTAGCTTTTGGATTTGTTGCTGCTCTTGAGTGCGAAAACCATGTGACAGGTATTAACTTTCCGGCCTGTAAACAGCAAAGGGGGAAGGGGGCGACACTTGCCGAGATGTTTGATTTAGCTGAGGATCGAGTATGCGCAGATGAAGGAAATTGCAAACAAGAGTGACCCTGGCGACTACTATGGCCTGAAGTTTCCTTACACCAAGGACCGCCCATGCGCCCACATGGGAGCAAGTCACTAGTTAATTAGTTTTGAAACAACTAAGTATTGGCTTGGCCTAACGTTTGTTTCGCCGGGACAAACGAACTTATGGCCATCTACAGAACCTTTGTTTCTCTGGACACAACAAATGTTTCTTCGGAACTCATGCTTATATTATTCTGTCGCATGTGCGGAAACGTGGGTTTCCAATAGAGGAACAAACGTTTTCCGTGCGAAAGGTTTGTTTCTGTCTCGAAAACACATTCTTCCTAGTGAACGTTTGTTTATGGGAAACTGGGAAGCTTCTCGAAAACCCAAGAATGTTTACTTTGGAAACTTGGAAAACAAACGCTTCATCGCGGAGTTGAGTTTGTTTGTTTTCTGGGAAACTCTGACAGGAAACTCACTGGTAGAAGGTTATTTTCGCACACCAAAACATACGTTCCGGACAAACTATTGTTTCAGGGCTGAAAACGCTCCTTTCGTGAACTCGGTCTGTGAGTTTGTTTCATTGCACGCCCACTCAAGTTTCGGAGGAAGGTTTGTTGTGTCCGCCGAAAGGTTTGTTTCTAAACCTTTGTTTTGTCCCAGGCAATTGTTTGTTTCGTAACATGTGTTTTTCCGTGCCGGCCACGGGCGCGTCTCCGGCTCCGCCACAGCGACTGACCTTTCCGGCTCCGCCACGGCCACTGGCTCCGCGCATACGACCGATATGCGGTGTGCATTTTATCTGCATTGTCCATGCCTGATTCCTGTGCAATGGTGACGCCTTTCTTCGTCTTTCCTGTGCACGTTGCATGCGCTTCTGCGTGCATTTTGATGCAGCCGGTATGCCGATGAGTGCCGGAGCTGAGCTGGAGCGGAGCTGAGCAGATGAGAGCCGGAATCACCGGACCGGAGCCGGAGCGGAGCCGAAGGCGGAGCGGAGGCGGAGCGGAGGCGGATCGGATCGACACGAAGTCGCGGGCTGGATGGGCGCTACTGGAGAACGCGCGCGATTACAAGCAAGGGTCACAAAGCCGAACACAGCCTTCTGAAGAAGCGGGGGGTTGGGAGGGGCGCAGCCCCCCCCAATAGAGTCAATAACCTTACCTGAACCCCCTAGAATGTTCTCTTCTTAGCACAAGGACGGCCTTTAGAACAACAGGTTTCTGTAGAGTTTTACTTCAATTGCATGTTTGCGAAGGGGTTCTGAACTGGTTTTGAACGCCTTGCGACCGGTATGTCCAACACCGAGTCCTAGGCACGGCCCATGACATGACGCAAAAAAAACATAAACATGCACTGGACTGCGCGAAAATATTGCAATTATGGACTCGCAGCGAGCGATGTCTGCAATACAAGGTTCGGTTTGTTCAAAAACCCGAACGGTTTTTGTAGCACCAACGGTGAGATTTCAGCACCAAAAAGGCCAAACAATCATTTTCCTAAAAATCCGATCAAATCCCCACAATCCTGAAGAATTACTCCTCCCCCCCATCATTATTCGAACAATCATAACCCCCTCCCCTCAATAACAAAGCCACCCTCCGCCAAGTCTTGTTTTACCTCCCCACCTCCTCCCCTCAACAACATTGTTCTTCCGGGGGGGCCTCAACAACATTGTTCTTCCGGGGGGGAGGGTTTAGAGAGGGCTCGTTGCGAACGATAGTCCGCCCCGCTTATCGAGACGGTCTCTGGGTAAGGTTTTGGTCGCGGTGCAGTCCCCGTCGCAAAAGGGCCCCAACGGAATCCAACGGAATACGAACTCGGCGCATTACAAGCAATTTTGCGTAGCCAAAGCCGACTTGGTGGTGTTGCTGGTGATGCTAGGGGTGTCATTTGTGGTGCTGGAGATGTCTGGCTGCACGTACCCCAGAAACTAAGAAAGTGTGATTTCCGACCTTGGAAACATCAGTTTCCCATCGCTGAAACTAACCTTTCAAAAGGTTTGTTTCTCAGCGCCCCCTTCCCCCGAGGCCAAAAAGGATAGTTTCCACCTGAACAAACAAACTTTTTCGGCCCCAGAACCTTTAATCGTTTTTCGGCCAGGTAAACCTTTTTTTTCCTTGAGAAAACGAACTTTCTTTGTCTGAGTTAGTTTGTTTCCCAGCCCTGGGGGCGGTCGGCACCCTGTCACTGAGTTTCACGCAACAGGTTTCCACCGGGGAACTAACATTTGTTACCCTCGATGAGAAACTTCTGACTCGCTCCATATTCCATGCGCCAGGTTTCTTGGGGCTGTGTTTGGCTCAAAGCTTGTGCCCATAGGCGAATGGCTTAGACAAGCGACTCATCCCCAACTGTTTGTTTGGTAGAAATGGACAGGATGATGCCTCGATGGTCTCCCCAGATTCCAGAGCCAATTCCTGGGCCCCCTCCCCCTTTTCTTCAAAGCTTCTTTCCACAGCCGAAATCCTGACATTTCGTCCCTCAATCAATGCTTGTTTTGGACTGCCAGAATATATGCTCTTCTTGATGGGTCCCCAAGTCCCTGATCCACACTGAGTTGTTGGGGCTGGCAGTCTGACCGTCTCTCAAAGGACCAGATCGTGGAGATGGGACCGGAATGGCTGACACAGGCCGAGAATGGGCAGTTGTTTGGCAGGTAGGCTTGGCCACATGCTGCCATTTGATAGGGAATTTAGACAACCATGATGAGGGTTCGCGGAGCCATGGCTGTTGGGCCACAGTCCACAGAATGAGTTTGATACAGGCATGGGGTTGAGAGGGAGGGGCAGTCCCTTGGTTGTGAGACTCTTGCAAAGAGGCCTTACAACACGGGGCACCTTTCTGAGGGTACCTGAGAATTCCTTTATACAATGTGTGCCTCGCCTTGACCTGCAAAAAAGCGGTGGTTTCAAAAATCCACATTGGCACCAGTGAGTGGGTAGGCTCCCAGGGTTTCCATCCCCCTGACCGGTGGACGCCGATGCCATCCCTGGTCAGCGCGCCGAGCGCCGGGCGCGCAGGCCTTCCACAAGAGTGGCGTGCTGCCCCGGGACAACGCAGTCACCAAGATCACGGCCGGGGGCCCTTGTGCCCGGTGTCCCTAAGAGCCAAAAGGGGAAAAAGTTGCAAGTGGTCTTTCGAATGATTGGGAAGCCTCTCTTCTCTTGTCTATCTGATTCATTCTCTGTTCCTTCCTTCAGTGCCAAAGCTTGCTTGGGACAGAAGGAAACATTGGCGCGCCAGAGCGCCGAAGGATGCCAAAGAGTTCGTGGGCGGCGGCGCCGGTCTGAAGTGCACCTTCACGGCCACTTCGGCAGCATGCCACCGGACCTGTTTTGTTGTTTGTTTTTCTTCATTGTTCAGTTGTGTTTGTTTGATGTTTTTTGGTACTCTCCTTTCCGATGTGGTTGCTTGCTTCTTGCTGTTGTAGTGCAGCTGCGGTGTGTGTGTGTGTGTGTGTGTGCGTACGAAGGTGTCAAGACCAGTGACGCCTTTGTGGTTCATGGTAGTTCAAAAGAAGTGGTGACGAAAGACCCCTTGCCATTGAACAGTGGTTGTTCAGCATTTATGGGTGGGCTTAAACTGTATCTTGATCCTACCTTGTTCCATCTTTCAGTCCGAGCCAGAAGCAGGTGCGGCAAGAAGCCCTTTTTGATTCTTTGCACGGTTGGATAGATCCTTTAAACAAACATGAATTTGATTGTTTCTTCGGTGATGTTTCAAGGGGGTACATGGCAAGCTCACCAACATCCATGCAAAGAAGCCTCTTCAGCCTTCCAGGTTCCAGCCGTGTCATTATGCTCTACCACGCTTGAGACACCGAATCGGTTGCCACTGTGTGGTATCTGGAAAAGGGGCTAGTAATCTTCTCGGAGTAATTTTAGATTGGGACGCAACAAAAAGTTCGTGTCCCATACGATTTTCTTTGGATCGCCTGTCCACCTGAAAGAGGCTCCCTGGGCCGGCCGTTCGAGTCACTGACTACTGTGTATAGAGGGACGGAGCTGAAGCTGTGCGCTGAGTCATGGATTGTCAATGGACCCTTATACCCGCTTGCTTGACTGAAGAGATCTTAGTTGTGTTTTCCACGAAAAGAGGTTTCCCGCCGCCTGAAGAGGTCTTAGCTTTTTCCACGAGAAGAGTTTTCCGCACAGGTGGAGTACAAGAAGGATGAGCCCTACCTGCACAAGAAGCTCTTCGCCAAGCTCCCGCACAAGCCTGGCGGCTCCGATCGATACTTTGTCTCCTGCATGTGGAACCATGACAGGCCAGGCTCACAGCCACTTGCTCAAAACCTGGGTAGATGAAGGTTAAAGGAGAGTCCCAACCAGGTGCAGCCGCATTTGTTTAGTGCTTTAAGTGGCTTTGGGTATACCGTGTTAGTACCAGGTTTTGATTATGGCTCACATGATCCCGTGGTGTCCGAGCCCTTGGACCCTTCCAGTTGCATGTGACTTCTTACGCCAAGGGATTGCCTGCCGAGTTACTTCCAGAGTCAACTTGTTTGGACCTCCAATGCCTCCAAGCCAGATGCTTCAAGACTTCCCTTTATTGCAAACCTGTAACTTTGTGAAGTAGGTGTGTGCCGTCTTCAGATGGCTCTTGCATCACCCGACTTGCGAATGAGAGAATGGCTGCTTTTTTTCCTCGGCACCACCATGGCATTGGGCGTATCGTTTTGGAGGGGGAACACTTGTTGGGCGTTTTGTTGGATGCCTTGCAGCCCCTGCAGCTTTCCAACAATTTCAGCCAGGCCTGAGATCGTGTTCAACATCTACCTGCAGGAGTCTGTGCCCTTCCGAGTTCCAAAGTTCTACTTCGGGGCCGCTTGGCAGAGGCATGCCATGCATGCCCACTTGTTTTTTTGGTTTGGTTCAAAGGGAAACCAAATGGGCACCATCACAATTTGCCGGGACTGGCCCAGTTATCAAACCGTTTCATGTGTTGCCACTGAGAGGCTGGAGCACCCTGCCAATGTACATTACACTCCACCGGCATTGCATTCACCGCTTCACGGTCGAGGTAGCTCTAGTTGCTTCCACCTATCGGCCTGGTTTTTTGGCTTGGGCACAGCAGCTCCTGCGCAGGTGCCTTGGCGGTCTGTTTCGCCCGTGTCATTAGGTAATTGAAAGGCTGCTCCATATCGAGTGTAGTCCCCTGCCCACCCTCCTCGCAATAAGTACAAGCTTGAGAAACCCACGCTTGTTCATACGGTCCAGATAGGCCGCATTCTTTCCCGGGCACAAGAAGAGTCGAAGCACAATTGTCGAGTGTTCAAGGCATTGTTTCGATTTCGAAAGTAAATCTTTTGGAAGAAGCTTGGTACAAATCACGTCTACTTTGGGATGCATTCATCAAGCCGGGGTAGTGATATCCTTCTCGTGCCGAGGACATTTCGGCTTCCACCACCAACTTTGTGCTGATCACCGAGAGTATCGACTGGGCCAAGACGGGAAAGAAGGAGTTCAAGCCCTTCGAGGTTGAGCCAGCCTACGACAAGTACAAGGCAGGGCAGTCCTTTCGGCCTGTATCGGAAACATGTATGGCCTAGTGGATCCCAGTTGCCTCAATTGTCGGTAACGAGCCATTTTCCTTTTCCCTTAAGGGTGGTTAGGTGGGGATATCCAAAGCTGGGCCCCTGAACTACACGATGATCGTTTCGATTATTTTTTTATCCAGCCGGGGTCCCAAGTTTTGGACTCAGGACTTTGTTTGGGGATTGGCCAATGGTTTGTAACCATAGGTGTCCTTTTTAGGTTGGTTTGGTTGAACATAGATGGCCCTGGTTTCAGTTCGGTTCTAATCATCTATCCAAAAGGACACCCATATTTGTAACCCTACTTACAAGGTCAAAAGCGCGACAATTTGGGCCAACCGAAGGTTCTGAGCCACTTGGCTAACTGATCGACCAGCACGGGTTGTTGGGCCGAGCTCGGGGCCCCTCCGGAAAGCCCTCCCCAATGACTAAGGGGCGGGGGCCTCGTATGGGTACCTGTTCATTCTGTGCAAGAGTTAAGATTTGGATCGAAACTACCACCTTAGGTAGGGAGCAAATGCCTGTCGGGGGGAAGGTGGAACTTCCCTGCAATTTGAAACCGTGGGAAGCCATAGGAAGCAGTCAGCAGCTTGTGTTGAGATCACATCCGAGACCTGCTTTGGTTAGCAGCCAGCAGACATCCTGATCGTCACTCCACGTCAATTTGTGAATCCCACCTTATCTCGACCGGATTTTCACAAGCCCTGTGAACCAATGTGAAGCAACCTGTCTCAATTCTCAATCATGCAGCTCTCCAGACCACGCTACCAACCCCCCGTTTCTATAACCAACATCTTTAACTTTGGTTGATGTTTGCCTAGCAATTGTTCCCTGACGTGCCAGGTTTTCTCGTAACTTGAGTCAATTATCGAATCCCCCTTGAAGGGGCCCTTAGCTGTTTGAGTGAACCCAACTTTGAAGCACATGCTTTTTACAAGCTCCGGCGAACAACTGTCTGTATACGCAAGCCTAGAGGATGGCTTTCCCAAAGGATCCCTTGGTACCTTGTACTCGCTGTGAGGAATGAGTATTCCACGAATTCCCTTGAACCAAGCCCAACCAGCTTTGAACACATGGGGATTGCCATTGTTTGGTATTTACGAGGAATCATCACTCCTTTGAACACATGGGAATTGCCATTGTTTGGTGTTTACGAGGAATCACCACTTCTTTGAACACATGGGAATTGCCATTGTTTGGTGTTTACGAGGAATCATCACTCCTTTGAACACATGGGAATTGCCATTGTTTGGTGTTTACGAGGAATCATGACTCCTTTGAACACATGGGAATTGCCATTGTTTGGTGTCACTCCTTTGAACACATGGGAATTGCCATTGTTTGGTGTTTACGAGGAATCATCACTCCTTTGAACACATGGGGGTTGATCAAAAGGTCCTTGCAAGGAGTTATGTATTCGGTGACCATTCGTCTTGGCTTAAATCCCTCCGCGAAAGATCGGCGATGGAGTTCGCGAAAGAAACTTATTTTTTCGCGAAAGATTCCGCGTTGGATTTTTGGAGGCATGCCTGTGCACTTACATATTTGCAGACCCCGCTCCCTTGTAGAGGGAGATACGCAGCACCTACACTTGCATTAGTGATTCCCTGCCTGTGTTAGGAATGGCGCAAATCAATAACGTTGGCTGGGCTATTTTGGAGCAAGTTTCGCGAAAGATCCGCGAAAGACCGGCGAAAGTCCAGGGAGCTTGTTGCAAGGTTCCGCACATCGCCGGCAAGCGCAAGTGGCAAGGGCGAATGACGGTGACTGCTTGCACTTACACTACGTACTGCACGCAGGTGAGCTGCGGCTATCCTGTGTGCAAGCATAACTGCAGCAGCCACAATGGCTCCAGAGCGCACGCTGCAAACAAAAGGGCAAACAAAAGGGCTTGGCGATGGAGTCGCGAAAGATTCGCGAAAGAAACTTTTTTGTCTCGCGAAGATGGCGTTTTCCGGAAACAGGAATATTGATCAACTGCCACATGGGAATTGCCATTGTTTGGTGTTTACGAGGAATCATGACTCCTTTGAACACATGGGAATTGCCATTGTTTGGTCACTCCGGGATTTCATTTCGGTGGTTCCTCCATGGGTTTCATTTCGGTTGGAGACTCGCCGATGTTCGAGGACTGGGAGCTGCCAGACGGTGGGCCCATGCCGCGGGGCGGAAGTAGTTCTGTGGGACTCGGGGCAGCGGGGGGTTTTGGGGTGGCTGCAAAGAAGGCGACAGGGGAAGCTGAAGCCTTCCACCATCCCCAAGGCATGAATCATGTTTGGTTTATTGCGGGGGATCGTTTTGTCTCCGGTCACATTTTTAAGACACCAACAGAAGCCGCCGGTTCATTGCCCCCCTCCCAAATTCTATCACAGAAAAGCCAAGGCGCCAAACTCTGGACTTTGGCAAGGAAGTTGCTGGAATTCCATCCACCAGGAAAATTCTGAGTGATTGGAACTGGGAACCAGAAACTCCCGGGGCTTCCTGAGGTACTACCTGGCTTGCTGCCGGGCGCTGGGGAAGATGGCTGGGTACCACAAGCAGAGGCGGTTGCACAAGATGGTGGATGACACCTGACACCAAACTGAGTTTGTCTCAAAATACTAAGGGCTCCCCTCGCCGGACATTGCACAAAGCGAAATTTTGTTTTCAAAAAGTCAAAGAAGTCAAAACCTTTTCGACGTTTCGACTTCTCGCATTTCTTTTTGACTTTTCGTGTTTTTTTTTGACTGTTCGGGTAGTCCCCCCCCCGCTGTGGTTTGACTTCTTGACTTGTTGACTTTTCGACTTTTCGAGTTTTTGAGCAGCGCGGCGGCCCTTTGCTCAAAGAGTGCGGCCTAGCCCACTGATAAGCTTTCATGCCTTTGACTCCGGTTGCCGTCAACACCATCGTTTCTGGTGCCCCGGCCAGCGACGCGCCCCTACAACTTTCCAGGCTTTGGTGGGCCCGGTGTCCACAAAGTCATCTAGTATGAACTGATAAGCTTCAGCTCTAGAGCATCAACGGCGAGTTGGGCTTCCCAGCGTCGGCATTGCGAAGCGTGAAAGACTGGCCTGCAACATCTCTGTTTCCTTCTTGGGGCAGGTGAGATGGCTTTCCACTTCCCTAGGCTTTCCAGTCTCTGGCGGGCGTGAGTTTTTTGGGGCGTGAGAGGCTCATGTTTTGAGCCCCGCAAACTGGTGCTTGACAGCGTGGAGCTTTCACGTGAATAGCGTCAGAGAGCGAAAGGCTGGCGGGGCACGAAAGGCTAGCCTGCGGCATCTCTGTTTTTTTTAAATATCTGGGGGTGGGGGATGACAAGCTGATGCTTGCCAGAAAGGCCGCGGGATCCGGACTTGATGCTAGCTGGCAGACCTGCACTTGTAGCCGGTTTTGCGTTTACTCCATGTCCCTTGGAACCTCTAGCAATGTGGCCAGGGATATCGCACTGACGGTGTCAGCGCAGCATGTTGTCCAGACTGTTTGGAGCGAGCTCAGCTGATCAGTGGCCATGTAGACGCGATCTACGCAGCAGCCGCGCAGGGAGTCTGTTGCGCCACGTCGGCGGACGCCAATCATGATCTCTTCGTTTTGGCCATGACGGCAGCTGTGCTACAGGAGTTTGCAGTGTTTGGAGATATCGCCGCTGTGCTCTTGCTTCAGTTTCCGACAGTGAATGAACAGCCTTCACAAAGTTTTGAGCAGCAGTTGATGCTTGAGTGGGGCCCCAATTGGCGCAGCAGAGCGCGCGCTTTGTTTCAGGGAGCACAAGAACCTTTTCAAGTCGTTTCGGCTCAGTCCCTGGTTTTCACAAATGATGTTTCTTTTCGAAGACTGTTTGATGAGTCGGCAGTAGTGACCCATAATGTTGCTCTGCTGCTCGATGGTCTGCTCAGCCGACCTGTGTCCGGTTTGCGACTCACGTGCACTAGAAGGACGCCGTTTCCGAAAAAGAAATACGGCGTCCTGAGAAATGAGCTGCTTTTCTGGCACGACATGTGAAGCGCATGGTGAAACCAATGCAACATAGACACTGGCTCTTTAGGGTTGCTTGCGGCCGCTGCATTGTCCCCGCGCGCGGTGCTTCCCACCTGCGTATGAACTTCCAGTTTCTGGCAAAGCCTTTGCTCCCGCTCAGGGGCGGCGGCATCTCCTCCCCTGCGAGGCAGAGCGGAGACGGAGCCACGTCACGCGCAGGGCTGCCCATGGCGGCTTTGATCGAGCGCAGCGCTGCTGCACTTTGTTGATTTGACGGGCTAAGCCGCGCCCCTGTTGGAGCCAAGAAGTGCTGCAAAGGGCCTTGCGCAAGGCAGTCAGCTATGGCGATGGTCAAGCTTTGCTTCAAACCGACACATGGGAAGCCCCGGAAGCGATGTTGGTTCTTCTGAGGCTGGTGCGAAAGGATCTGGCTCAATGGTCCACCGGCCCCTCTTGTCGATGATCCTGTCTGCTGCCGATCCTGAACCTGCTTCTTCGTCCTTAAGCGAATTGTCCGCGAAGGTGAAAATGGTCTTACCTATCCACAGGTTAATCATCGGTTTATTTGCCTGGGATGTAAGTCTCCAATTGTCTTCTAGGATGTCTGGATCTCCACCTACGGATGCATCAATGATTTCCGTAGTACGTTCTCGGCTAATGTGATCAGGATTGATTGGACACTCCTTGGCTCCATTTGGTTGAACAGCGCCTTTCGGGGCGTGATGTGCACACGGATGAGCTGCTTGTTCTTCTTGTCAAGGATCCAATGGTCCTGCTTCTGAGACCCAATGATCTTAGGAGTTGCTAGGTCCTCCTTTGTCGGATGATTTTGCTGCACACACAGTTTCACTCTTGGTGAGATCCCCGGAGGGAAACTTGATGCTGTTATCATCGTCATAGACATAGTTGGTGAGGCCCTTGTGAGCAATTTCTCCATGTGCCTTCACTCTTGCAACTCCAGCGAGGTCGACGAGTGCATGTCCTGTACCGGATACTGGAACTGCTTGACGGTTCATGCCAAAGGCTTTGCATGTGATCTTGTCACATTGAGGTGTGTGCTCGATGGTCATGTAGAGGTCCCTTGCCGCCGCTGAAAGAGAGGACCTGCTTGCAACTCAAGCTAAGTTGCCGGACTACTTGACTGCCTTGGACGCTTTGGAGGTTGATGCCATTCGAGAGTATGCCGCACTGAAAGAAAAGGTCTCCTCGGCTACAGGGGGCACGCGGGCAGCTGCAGGATCTCACAATGCAGGCGTGGAAGATGGCATTTCATGCTGACTTCGATTTCGACGCTTCCGAGCTCGGCGAGAAAGCCCAGCAGCTCAAGTCAGAAGATCTCGAGAGATTTCACAACGCTTGGTCCAAGGTAGTGTACGATGTGAAAGAAGTATACCAGGCCATTGGCTTCCGGAGGCAAGACAATGTTAGCTTGCGATCATTTGTCACTTCGCACTGCTTGGGCTTCTTCTCCGACTTGCTTGAAACCAAGGTCCCTGACCCAGTCAACGCACAGGCAGACACGTCCCTTCGCTCTGCTTGCCCGTTCATCATCGCAGAAGCTGCTGGCCGTGTTTCAGTTGCGAACGGTTTGCCCCGTGATGAGCACGTGGTTTTCAGCGCATTCCAGGGCCAGTGCGCTTATTATTGGATCGGGCTTACAGGTGGCCTTCGGAACCTTCCTGGAAGGGACTGAAAGTGACCGGAACGTGGCAGATTCAAACTTGCCTCTTGTTGCGGCAGGAGAGTCAGCAGCGGGCAAGGACAACTTGAAGCGACTGGTGCTGGACTGGCTCAGCAAGCTGGGTGGTGGAGACAAGCCTGCCACGCATGCCCTGTTGCAAGGACAAGCGTTGGGGCGCGGGCAGGGGAGGGAGAAGTTCTTTGTGGGACTCGCGCGCACTGCGCAATTTTGTGGTCTTAGCGCTTTGCTGAAACAAAAGCCTAGCATGGCCTCACCCATGGGAGGATCAATTACCGTCACGGGTCTCATGCAGGAGTTGCTAGATAACAGCGGTCAGCTTCAGATCATCAACGGCGAGCTGGAGAAGGTGATCAACAAGAGGAAGGAGAAGATGCTGCAGGAGAGTGACCTCATACAACTCCTCGACGGCACAGACGCTTTTGGAAAGCGAACTGGGCAGCAGAAGGCTTGCTTGAAGCCTGTGGTTTGGGCTTTGCTGGGCGCGCAGCTGCCGACATACGTGCGGGAGATGGGGTCCGACTTGAATGGAAGACTCCGGTTCGTCATTACCAAGGCCCTTTGAGGAGAAGCTGGTGCCCCGTAACGCGTCCAACCAGCTGCTGGTCAGTGTGCTGCAAGAGATCCTCCACACGCAGCACGTTTCCGCAAGCCCAGACGCTGAAGATCTGGAGATGGCTGGCGGGCAAGCCTTGCCAGAAGGAGATGAGGCTCAGCAGCCAAGCGATGCAGTGGAGCGCCCCAGCAACTTTGGTGCTGGCAGGTGTGCTGGATGGCTCTGGCCAAGCTTGTGACAAGGCAGGCAAGTGCCCAGGTAGCTCAATGGTGACGAAGCACGCAAAAAAAGCGTTTGGGGCAATGGCAACAGCCAACGCAGCAATGCGGAACGGCATGCTTCTGTGGGCCCTTGGAGACAAGGTTCCAGTTGATAGCCACGTCAGGATTTTGGACTGCCTTGCCGCAATTCCAGATTGAGCAAAGGGTCCTGGTTGACAAAAAGGCGTCAGAGACTGCCCCGCAGCAGCCTGAGCTCATCCCAGGCCTCGACCCCGTTGACTTCGCAGCTAGGCGCCTCTTCGACGGCTTGGCCAGTGAAGTGGAGGGGGAGGAGACGCTGCTCGAGAAGGGCCACCACTTTGAGCATGCATTTCAAGATCAACAGCAAGACGGTGTGGCGCAACTTCCGCCAGCTGCGCTTCAATCGTGGCAGGAAGCGACAACAAGGCCTTGAGCTGAAGATGTTGAGTAAGAGCCCAGTTGTGCGTTCAGGTAGATGTAGAGTTTTTAGGGTGCGTCAAGTTGTGGATTTGGGCGGGCCTGGGCAGGACTGCTGCGCTACAGGGGGAGCAAGGTTCAATGACCACGGGACCGCCGAGGGGTGGAAGACTGCGCCATGTCGTGAGTTAGAAGGCGGCTAAGGCAGCGGCAGATGACAAAGTCGTCAAGCTTTGCTGGACCAAGGGTGCTGACACGCGGCTCACAAAGCTCCACGTCAGCGACGCTGCTCTCAAGCTGTACCGTGAGTGTCCTAGAGTTTAGGACCCGCCTGCAATGCGGGTCGCGCGGTTACGCAACGCATTCTGTACTAATTATTACGCTGCGGGGCGGTCACGAAGATCCGCGCTGCGCTGGGAAAAATAGGCTTGGCGAGCGCGTGGGGTCGTGCTTGACTGCCGTTCTTCACGGCGGCGCGTGACATAGGCTGCGTGTGTTGACTGCAGTGGGAGACTGGCTCCAAGAAATGTCGGGGCATGCCGCAGCGCCGAGATGGTAGGCAGCAAGAGGCGCACGCGCCAACGTCGCAGAGATTTTGCCCTTGGGCAAAGACTGACAAAGCTTTGCTGCAGCAGGCTATGACCCCGCGGGCGAAAGCCCTCCCGTGCTGCTGCTAGGAGGGCAGCCTCTGACTGGAGCCGAGGCTTGTCGGCGGTATGTGACTCTGCTCCTTGCTGGCTTGCTGGCGTGGCGCGCGCAGATGGCGTTGAGTTGCAGCAAAAGCGCACCAAGTCAGAGGGGAGGCAGCGGTCTGACCAAGCATGTCAACGAAGCCCGTGAAGCTCGCAAGCTGCCTGCCTGACTGCGCAGCGCATTTTGTGCTCATCATTACTATTTTCGGATTTGCCCGGGGCTCACTTCCTGATGACGCGTGTGCCGCATGTGCTGCGTGTTATTTGGTGCTGCTGCGTCTTGGCTCAAAGGGAGTGCGGCTTAGCCCACACTGGCATGTTCACGTCACATGGTAGTTGCTTCTGCCACCAAGGAGAGGCACTGATAGCCCAAGCTAGAAAAATGCGAAGGCATCAGGCGGAGAATAAGTGGGAGTGCGCCGAGTGCGGACAGCACGTTGGAAGCCTGCGAGACGCTGCGCATCATGCTTGCCCAATAGCAGCTGCTTGCGGCCCAACGCGGAGGAAGCGGAAGAGATCCAGACCAGCTACTGTTTCAGATTCCCACGGTCAAGCGCTCAATGTGCCCGAACCGAAAACCTGCTGTACGCCGCCATCGCGGAAAAATTGCGGAGCAAAGGAAATGCTCGGAAGATTTGGAGCTTCTCTTCCCCTCATCCACACTGCTCAGCGTCCAAGCAAGCGCCGCTGCTGCGAGTCCTGCGCTGTCACTGCAGCCAGGAGACTTCGTCGGTGGCCCTCTAAGAAGGACACTTTTGGCTGCATTTGGTCTGTGGCCAAAAAAAGACGAGCTGCTTCAGTTGAGGCTGTTGGATACATATGTGTATACATGTTTTTATATATATATATATATTAGTGCAGAGTCCAAATTCGAGGACACTGCTGACGGGTCCAGGCTGCTCGAGACTTTTGATCGCTGCCACGACGACGATTTGACTTGTGTGTGGCGTGCATTGGCTTCAGAGCCTGTCAGCACGGTTTTTCAGAAGAGCAGAGAGGCATGTGGAAGGCACCCGGCGACTTGTTCGACGCCTGCAGCCACTGTTTGAAATCTCCACAAGGCAAACTATGTGATATTCAGGTTTGGTATTTTTTGTGGGGCTCGGAATGGCCTATTCATGCCCTGCAAACCCGGGTGGTCTGGCAGGAAGGGTGCAGAAGTGAGACCCTGCCCATTGCAAGCTCCACGGCCCCGCCTCCCTTCCATGTGGCGCTCGCGTCGCAGCGCATGACTTTTTCCGGGCAGGGGGTGTTTCATGAAAACAAGAAAAGTCAAAAACTTTTTGACTTTTTGACTTTTCGACTTCGACTTTTTGAGTTTCTGGGGACTTTTCGACTTTTCGAGTCTTTTTTGAGACTTTTCGATCTTTCGACTTTTCACTTTTCGACTTTTCGGATCAAAAACACAGTTTTCCGTGACCAGCCACAACACCATCCACAAAGGGTACGCGCGGGCAGATGGGGCATGGTGTTTGTAAGTTGGACCTTCCTTGGAGGTCAGGATCTCCATTGCAAGCTCTTGAACCTCGAAAGAGGCCGTTTGGAGGTTCCAACATGGCCACTGGGTGAGCGGTTCAATATGTCCAGGCATCCGAATCATTTTGAAAGCACGCCCCATGTTGCTTGCTCGAAGTTGATCGGGGTTTCTTTTTGCCCAACCAACAGTTAGACTGGAGGTCACAACAAACAGGTTCGGGTTTGGCTACTGCACTCCTCATGTGATGCTCCAGCAAGGTCTTTTCGTTCCCCTCTTCTTCAGGGTTGATTTCCAAGGGAAACCAAACGCAGACCCGAATCCACTTCTTGGGAGTCTCTTGTTGGACATCAAGGTGAAGTTCTTGGTCCAAGGATCTGTCCATGTCCAGGTGCGCGGGTGGTTGGCATGGACGCAACAGAATATGTGTTCTACTTCAGGGTATGCAGAAGAGACAGTAATATACTTCTGTTTGTTTCAGTGGGTCAGGGTGAATTGAATTAATTGGATGTGGGCTTTGGCACGCACACAGCTCTTTGAGCCCTCAATTGCCATCTCTGGCCCAACCTGACGAAGCTCTAAGGTCTTAGATTTGGACCCCCTTTGGGGCCCCACTTTGTTCCCCGTCCCGTGTTCCGTTTGTCTCGAAGTTCATTCTGTTTTCTTTTGGGTGTTGGTGTGTTGCATCGTGCAGGCTTCCTTTTGCTCCCTCTCTGAGTTCCTGCAACTTGAACTCTTCAGGAAGGCAGTTTGACTAGTAAACCAGCTGCTGGGGTGGACCTTTGTTTTACTTCGCTGCACTCACGCCCATGTTTTAATAAAATAATAATAATAAGAATAATAATAATAATAAATGATAATACTAATAATAATATTGAGAATATATGATATTAAATGATAATAATAAGATTTTTATTTTATTTTTTTCGGACACCGAGGAGATGTTCCCAATACCGGAGCCCATCCCCATGGTGCCGGTGCTGCCCCCCGTGGACGCAGTCACCTTGAAGCAGAACGTGGCCAAGGTGGACCAGCTCCTGGGACCTTCAAAGGGCTTTGGGCCAAGCCACGGGAGCTTTCGGTTCCTTTACTAAGTCCCCCTAGCTAGGCGCCCTTGTGCCAACTTTTTTGGCTGGGAGGGTGCCCCTACTAAAATAGACTACAGGAAAAAAAGGGTACCCTTATTCTGACCTCTCTATTGGAGGATCTAGTTTATGGCTATTTGGCCATGGGTCAAAAGCCAAATCGTACCCCCAGTGAACATCCCAATCCAACCACTAAGATAGGTTCTAAAATGGGGGGCGAATCCACCCACCCCAAAAATGGGATACCACAGCCATTTGGACTAAGCCTCGGGAGCTTTCCGTTTCTTTATGGCTATTTGGGGGTTACGAACATGGGATGACCATTGGGGGAAACCAATAGCAAGTTGATATGTCCCACTAAATGGGACACGTTTCCAATGGTTATTTTTGGGTCAGGACTAATTATTGATCAACCAACTAGTGTTTGGTTGACACAGAAAGGATTTCCCGATTTGGACTCACAAAAAGTGATTTACTCTCTGTAGAGGGTCAACAGCAACCAAGATTTACTTAAGGTGTCCCTTTACCCAACCCAAGGGTATTTTAAAAGAAACATGCGGAAGTTGTCAAAAGAGGTCCTTTTTGGTGTCCCCTTTGGGGGTACCTTGGACGGCAAGGTCCAAAGAGAACCGGCCACCTTCTTGACCCACTTGCAGAGCTGGGTCTGCGTCTCCCAAATGGGACAAGAAGGAAAAGAAGGGGCTGGTTTGGGCTACAAAGCCTCGACACTTTGGGCAACAACAAACTGTGGCTCAAACATTGGACAATGTGCTCAGATAAAGCACGACGCGTGCTGACCGTCGCTTTGCCCTGCCTTTTTTGCGCCTGGCAGATGCACAGCCTTGGGCACGCATTGTCACATAGCAGCTTCCATAATGTCTTCTCTTCGCTCCGGCCAGGTTCATTCGCTTCGCAACTTGGCTGGCAACGAAGGCTCAAATCAAAACACCCCGGTGGCCTGCTGTTGGGCTCTTGTCCTGGACCAAAGTTGCCCAAGAGTGGTTCAGGGTCCACACGGCCAGCCATGCATGTTTTTGCCGCTTCGGTTTCTGCTTTCTTCGCCTTTGCCCGCGTGAATGAGGTGGGTGAAACGGCGAAGGCAGTCATGCCGGAGGAGATCACAGATCAAGGCTTCTTGAACAGATGGAAGGAGGAGATCATTGAGGTGATGGTGCCTCGCATGGAGTTCAAAATAGGGTTCCTCTTGTTGCCCCAAGGTCCATAGTGGGTTTAAGGCCTTTTGGGGGGAGGTATAATGAATGGAAGCTTAATGAAAGTGGACAGTTGTTATGGGCGCAAGCAAGCGGAATAGAAAGCTTGGAGCTTTGACAAGGTCGAAAAGGGTGATTTTGTTGATTTATATGCCAGCATTTGCTGATATGTCTTGTTTCTTGATGAACATATCACTTTCGCTCACAAGACGTGATACCGTGATACGAGTAACTCAGCAAGAAAAGCCAAGCCCACACCTTTATGGCTATTTGGTTGGATCTTTGGATTTCAACTTTCAACTTTCTGGTTGAACAGAGGATTTTCCGTATTGGACCCACCAAAAGTTATTCACTTTGTGCAGAGGGGTCAACAGCAACCAAGACACGGCGGGGTTCCATCCAGTGCGCTGAGGACTATGCCGGTGAGATCCAATGTCGGAAGCTGAGCGACAGGGGGCTTCGGTCGGGGAACGGCCATGGGATCGAGATCCTTTCGGCTCCAATTCGGATGCCGGATCGCAAAAGTGTCCCGTAACTCACTCCACCACTTCCTCAATACAAAGGCCCGAAAGGTCTTAGGAAGCTACCTGCGTACTCGGTCTTGAAGCCACAGCAACGGCAGCGCTCCCCGGATATGGGACGTAGATTCAGAGCACCGGAATCAGACACTATCAATTTGGGAGCCAGCAAGATATTCCTGGAATCGGTTCGCCCGTGCTTGATGACCGATGTCACACATCCTGAACTAATTAACTAATTAGGCTTTATGCCAAAGGGTCATGGTTGCTCGGATACATGAGTAGGAGTGAGATATGGTCTCCTCACACGGGCACCAACAACAGAGAGCTTTCCTAGCGTTCTCCCCCCATGAAAAGACACGCCCATGTCACTCATCCAGCATTGGTGTTTACCTGGAGTCTCCATGACCCTTGAAAAGCTGGGGTCAGGAACCAACATACTCATTTTTAGTAGTCAGAAGGAGACTGCAGGTAGAAACCTCCGGGGAATGTTTTGGGACACAGGCTATTGCTCTGGCGCCGGCACGAAGAACCCCCACGACTACGTGGGCCTGACACACAACAATCTGCAGATTGACAACGCCGGGCACCGAGGGTCCCGAGGGTTTTCCAAGCCACGGCCCAAATTGGTACAGCTGCGCCATTTAAGTGGCTGGTCTCTTTTGGGGGAATCCTTTTCGGTGTGTGTGGGTTTTAAAGGGAAACCATTCAGAAACAGATCCATTTTGGGTGGCCCACCTGTTTTCGACACTCCTTCTACTTCACAAGGAAAAATGGTGCCCTCTAAGAAGTTACGTGCCGCAAGAAGCCTTTTGGTTTCAAAGCCTTGGTTTTGGTGAGCCGTCTCCTGGCTCCCAGGCGGATTTTACAAAGCATAGAGTTTTGATTGGCGATACCTGGGGCTCATGAGGGTTCTTAATTTGATCTGCCTTTTTTTGGGGGGACCCGTTTCAAGATGCCCTCGGCTTTCCTTTGGATTCCCTTTTTAACACCGGGTTTTGGGCGCCATCGAGGCCTTCTTCTGGCGCAACGTTCCGGGGCCGCAAGGGGAGCTGGGAGGGGTGCAGCCAGGGTTTCCCTCGAGCAGCTTCCTACCTTGAGACTCCGAGACTAAAACAAATCTTATATTCCTGCTTAAGGGTGGTTCAAACCTTTTGACAAGACGAGCATTGACAGAGTGATGTTTATAGGTTGGACACAGGACCAATCCTGGGTTGGGATGGGGTTGATCAGATTCCAGGCGTTGAGAAGTTCACCGAGGGTGTATGAATAACCTGCCATAAACTACATACATTTGTGCCCCAGCAAAGGCCATTCTCTAAAAGAAAAACCAACACCCATGGCCTGTCTTCTGATGTCTGGAGCCTCGATCCCCAAGGCGTCAATCGCGTCAGGGTTCGGAAGGCTTGACCCAAGGACTGAACCACCCATGGATTTCCGTGGACAACCAGCCAATGCAAAGACGCAATAATGCAGTTTTCTCATTTGGGTGTGGCTCAAAATTGAAGCTGGGTTCGGCAGGAGATAGTCATTGTTTCCATTTACCAAGGGACCATTTTGCGTAGCAGTTTTTGAGCCACAGCCATGTCTTCATGGGTCTCGACTGCGTGAGCCAGGCTGTTGACACATATAGTGACATAGTGCGCATGGTTGTTAGACAGGGTCGCAAGAACCCAACTATCCGTTGCAGCGGTCTGAAGCAAGCCATGAGCAGCGACGTCAGTCATAAACCCGGCAAGGCCTGCAATTCCCTCAAACCAGTGAGATTCATCCAAGCCCGGTTTACAAGCTCATGGAAACACCATAGCAAGAGCAACCATGGGGTTCTTAGGGGGCTGTAGCGCTGCGTGCCAGCTGGTAACCCACAAGCTGGCATTCAAGGAGTCTACCCAAAACTGCTAGTACATATCAAAAATGCAAATGTCCGAATCTATTTGTAGCAAGGGTTTCTGTGTCCAGGCGTTTTTTGTATTTAACTTTGCCTTTAAAGAGGGCGCTAAGGAACTACCAGGAGTCCTGCAAGGATGTGGTAGTTTGGCAAGCAGCTCCCAACTTAGTCAGGTTGGGATTTAGCTGAAACGAAGTCCCATTTCGCACCACCTAAGAAACCTGGAATGATGTGATTCCAACAAACGTTATGGTGTGTCACCCATGGTTTCATTCCGTGGTGCGAGATGGACCTTCTCCATCCACAGTACCTCTTGGACCGTCAAGGAGGGACCACCTCAAACAACCAGAAGCCAACGGTCAAGAGGTGGTGATTCAGAGGCCTTTATCACGTGGATTTGGCTTTCTCTACTTGCACCACAAGACAGAGGTTCATATTCCTGGTGTTCTACGTCCCCATGGGATTTGCCCTGATTAGCCACGCACTAAATCTGGGGTCTCCCCAACATTACATATTTTCAGATCGACCAAACATGAAACGCTGAACAAATAGTTTTCGTGTACCTTGGGGTTGGGCCAAGGGCGGTACCCTTTTGGTTTACCTATGTCGGCATTTTGGTTCAGCCTGGTTTTCCCTTTTGATTTCGCCTTCAGCTAGCCTGGGCCCTCTTGCCGAGGAAAAGAACGAGGTGGAGGTGGGGCTGCTGGACTGGGGCGTCCTGGCCTGCGGGCCTTTGACCGGCGCACTCCAAGGCTTGGAACCTGCTTTTCGCTGCGTCAATATCCAGACTGTCACAAATCTCACCCCTCATGTTCCTTCCTTATGTTCCTTCCTTATGTTCATTCCTTATGTTCCTTCCTCATGTTCCTTACATTTCCTTACTCAACTAGTTTGCCTGTTGGACATGGGAATGACATGACGGGGGTGATTGTTTCCAGCAACCATGGAAACCGCCCAGCCATCTGGGCAACCTGGCCATCTGGGGGTTTGCGATCTCAGGATTTGTTGGTACCTTTCCTGGGGGCCATGTTTTGTTTCAGGTGAACGTTATACAGAGCAATCAAGCAACTGCCATGTAGCAAACGAGAGCGCTCTTGGTTTCCTTTCCACCCCAAAATGGAGGGGACCAGGAGCCAGGAGAACCCACAATGGATGGGTTCCTTCTGCTTGTGTTCAAAACCAGCCAAATGCGGACCCACTGTTTGGGGGGGATCTTCTTTAGTCGTGAGTCGCTCATGTCGTTTAGGTTGTGTGTGTTTGGTAGCCGGCTGCAAAGCACCAAGTTTGTCGCAAATGAAGCGTGCCAGTGAGCACACCAACATCTTTGGAGGCAATTCCTTTCTTGTTTGGGCGGGTTTGCGCTTTCGACCAACCAAACGACTGGCCTGGTTGCACTGGTTTCCTGCAGGGGTTCCGGTCACTGGCCCTCCAGGCTGCATCTCGGGGGCGTCCACTGAGGTGCTGCTGGAGTGCTCCGGCAGTTGAATGCGTCAAAGGGCAGGGCTTGCACCGACTTCCCTTTTTGGGCTGTTCAAAGGCGCTTCCTTCCTTGTGTTGAGTACGAGACGCGTCCCTTTGTAGTGGTTTTCCAATAGGGATGCTGGAGAAAGATTGGCCAACTCTCCATTTGGAGAAGCCCAGTCAATATAGAGTAGCTGGATATTTCATCATACGTTGCACATACTATATATATGTATATATATATACACACATTGTTTAGCGATGTTTCTCTTGGCAGAGTGATGTTGAAGCGGTACGTAGGTTGAGCTTTGTTTGTGGATGGACCAAATGGGGCCAAACATGGCACCCTCCCTGGTTGTGTGGTACTTTAGAACATTGGTCACAAATAGTCAGGCGTCCCGGTATTTCCCGCTTTTGGGTGGTGCCGTTTTGTCCGCTAACGTGGAATCCATTTGGACTCTTGAGTTGGGACACCTTTCGGTACACAGGCTCAGATGTCAAGAGGTGCAGGCAGCGACCATTTGCTGTGGAACTCCAGAAATTTGCCACCCGATGTGTACTTCGCCACGCCATTGATATTTGTCCGAACTCTGGAAACGGGAAATATCGAGAAACGGTTTTGCGATCGCATATTGGGGGCCATAGCATACTGTACCCTCTAGGCAGGCAGGGGCGAGCTCTTGCAACAAATAGATTTGTGAATTTTGCAAACTGTTCATTTGCCCGTCAATTGCATTGTTTGACCGGGGTTGTCCGTGTCCACAAAGGCACTGCAGAGCCACAAGCACGGCACTGAGGGCTGCTCAACATTGGCTTTGGGACTTGGTGGTTTCTATTTAGACTACCAATCGGAGGACCGTTGATTTGCACTTTGGCCAGCGGCCATAACCTGGCGACCTACCACTTGTGCTATGCAGCTTGACAATGGCGATGTCATGAGCTTTCGATTGACTTACGAAAGTACAAGGTTGAATGGAAAAAAGTAAATCGACACCCTTGTAGGGTTGTTTCCTTTCCTTGTGCGCTTTCTAGGGCCTGGGGAGACGGTGTGGCCTGGCAGCCAAAACGCTGAACATTCAACAGCCAACCAACGAGCCAACAAACAAACAACCAACTCACCAACCCACCCACCCACCCATCAGCCAACCCAGCAACCGGGTCCTTCGGCGCTCTCTCGTAGCTTCTCAAGGCACCGGGACGCCTTCTTGAAAGCGTTCGTGGACAGTTACGCGGAGAACGGGGGCCCCACCTTGGACATGGACCGGGGATTCCTCCGAGCCGAATCGATGCCAAGCAGGAACCTGGGGTCTCCAAAATGAAGCAGAAAATTGAACCAGCTTCCTGCTTGGACATTGGTTTCATGCATTCGTTGGTGTTTTCTAAATGTAGGGTAGACGTTGACCAAAGAGGCAGAATCTGAACTTATGATTTTGGTGTAATTGCCCGAGAGTTGTGGTTTCAGACGCGATGTTTAAGGGGTACCAAGGGACGCAAAGTGGGACACATGCAAGACCCAAAGATGGGGTTTTCCCGCGGCTTCAGCGGCTTCATAAGGGTGGATTCCACGACCGCGTTGTTTTTTTTCTTCTATGGCCAAACAATGCCGCCTGCACTAAGTAAATTATTTTGTTCCCTCAGTTGAAGGGAAAAACATGTGCAGTGTTTCGCGGTGGGGTTCACCAACCTACCAACCTCAAGAAACGTGAAGGCATGGCTGGGCATGGCTCTGTGCCTGGTCCCGACTTTCCTTTTAGAGCAATGACACGAGCCGGGCGTTTCAAGACTAGGAGCACCTCCACAACTAGGTTAGGGCGGCTAGGGCGGGGGTCTGAACGACCCAAGGCCCCCCGCACCCCCCTCCCCAAGAGGCGGCATGTACCGTTTGCGAGGAGCGTCTGAAGATGATGAACTCTTTGATGATGCTCTTGTGGGGGGCCAACATCGTCAGCCGCTTGGCCCGATCCGTATGTCAAAGCCACTGGGTGATTCCTTTTGTGTAAACGACCTACTTTGGATCCCAAAGGGAACCAACAGGAGGCAGGAGATTGTTTAAGCAATAGGTGTTGAAGCACGTCAAACACGGGCCGGCACCAAAAGCGTGAGTGCTATCAACGTTGGATGAATCTACAGAGACACTCCCAAGCGAGTGGTTTCCCATTTCGTGGTACGAAGCGTACCAGTTTAGATTCGGATTCCTAGGATTGGTATGGTACTTCGTCTTCCGCTGTGAGCCTTTATCCAGCTTAGCGGGGATGGTGCCAACCCGAACGAAAATGCCGAGCGACCCCATCCCCTTTCTTATGGTGTCTTCCATCAGGGCTCCGAGCGACCCCATCCCCTTTCTTATGGTGTCTTCCATCAGGGCTCCAAAATATATTTCCCCTGGCTGTGGTGGGAGGTCAGGACACCTAGATTTGCTCCATGTCATAGTCCAGTTTCAGCTAGATGTCGGTGTTGAGTGCTGGTGCTCTGGGTCTCAATTTATTACACGTAATTTATGTGACGTCTGCCAAACTGGCAGGCGTCAAATTCAGGGCCAGCCGCAACAGGGATCCATGTCTTGTTTGAGTCCACCTTTTCGCCTGCCAAATTGCGACGAGGTAGAGGGGAGCCCAGGGGAGCCCCTGTGTTTGAGTCCGCCTGCAGGTTTGCCTTTTCAAACCAGTGCTTCAGATAGAAGACTCCCAGAAAGGTACCGAACCTCAAAGAAAGAAGCCACGCCTATTTCATGTAACCCTGAATTGCAAGGCAACCCTTATTTGGCAACATATTTGGCCGTAACAAGGCTCATCAGCACCCTGAAGCGTTGGGCTTTTCTTTTGGGGGGTCTTCGGGGTGGCAGGTCTCTTACTTCTCTGGAGATGGGTTTGTCTCCAAATGAATGAACTGCCCTTTTTTGTTTGTTGGTTTTCCCTTGACTGCCCTCAACCAGGCAACGGCAACACATTTGGCTACCAGAAAGGCAACTGCTTGAAACTTTTAGTTTTGCTTTTGTTTGCGAGAAGGGGGGGAGGGGCAGGTTGGGGTGTTGGGTCAGGCAACGTGAGTCAAGTGCTGAAGTTCACTAAGAAGGAGGAGTGGGCGGAGATCAACGACTGGATGGACCCCAGGCCACCGGCGGGAGGAAATTCCACCGGGGTCCGACTGGGCAAATCGTAAGCTTCCGAGCTGGAGTTGTGAAGTGCTCACGAATGAAGGTCCTCAGGCAATCCGTTTGTCCAATTCGTATTATGCTTGTAGTTTGCCAAAAAACACATTTTTACTTTAGGGGTTAAGGACCATTTGCGCGGGACATGGGCGGGACACTGATTGTCCTACAAGTAGGTTCCTATGTCCTTTGCGGATCTGCAAAACTTGGACAAGAAGCTTGTGACTGGTACTTTGGGTGGCTAAGGATGGTCATGAACAATCATGATAAGGACTCCTGTTGTCTACGAGCGCTATGACCATGGCCTACATAAGGAGTTGACTTAATACATGTTATTGCAGTTGTCAAAGTCTCGTGTAGTTTTAGTCAGGGGGTCGTGTCATGGGGAGCCTCCTTAATATGGGACTCTCAAATTCTCCCCTCGCCACTTGGGTGTTTCCTAACACGCCATCACTCCAGTCTGAGGATAGTCCTCATAGGTGTCCTTTGTGCTGCAGTGTGGCACCAAGGGTCGCCATTTAGGGATTCGATGGCACAGATGTGTTTGGAGCATTTGAGGCAAGTAATCTATTGAATCTGGTGCCAACGAAACCTGCAACTTTGTAAAACACATTCTGTATGAAGGGCGTGTCAAAGCATTGGCAATGCTTCGATAAGCAATCAGCATGTAACCCACAGAAAATGTCTAAGATCCTTGGGGTATGTGATAGAAGCGGTGCATCAAGGGTACCCTTGCCCGCTGAGCCCTTACCAACTCCTTCAACAGACCTGATTTCCGGAGGGGTACGACCCCGGTTACCACTCCGGAACCCTTAAATGGTAAATATACACAATTCAATTCGCGTTATGTTTGTTTACAAACATGTATGCATACCAACATGCACATGCCTTTGAGCAGAATGCGCTTGGCAGTTTGACATTGACCAGGCTATTGGATCGTTTTCAGACCCGCGCGCACACCACGCAGTTCAAGGAGGCGCTGTGGCTTGACTGCATTGCCAGACTTGGGCTCCCTTTTACCACTTGTGTAGGTAAGGTTCCGGTGGATAATATGAGTATGTTTTTTTGTAGGGGGCCTCAAAATGGCAGGTGTTTCATGTTTTGCCTTTAAAAAACACTGCAACAAGGGTATCCTCAAAAAAGACGCCCCTGCTTGGGGAGCCAAGGTTTGGGTGGATACACTATGATAATATAACAACCCAATTGTGCCTTTTTTTGGGGGCCCTCCATTCAAGTGGTCGCATTTGCGGGGTTCTCAAAACTACTTGTGGCGCTGGTTTCCCCGTAACCACCATGTAGAGGGTACTGTTAGGGATGTCACTTTAGCGGTTTGCCTTTTTGGCTTTCCCTCAGCAACAGGTTTATTGTTTGGAAACAGCCAGGCGGTTTCAAAAACGTCCCCCCCCCCCCGCATTGTTTCAAAACACACTACCTGTGACTGACCCAAACAGGGAGTGGCTCAGCGTTTGACACTAAGGCAGCTCTATCGCAAGTGGGACCTGTATGGCATTTTCCAGGAATGGAAGTCCGAAGTCGGGCTGCCTTCGAAGCGGTGACGGATGCAAGCAAGCTCCAGTGGGTGATTTTCGACTCATGCCAAGTGGGAAGGTCTTGAGTTAGAAGGCTAAACCTTGAAATATGATACAAGTCGGACATACTATATGTTTTGGTGCAATTGATAGTTGAACCTCTTGGGACATGGGATGTGAGTCAGACATACAACCTTTTGTTTGACATTTTGTGTTGCGAGTTGAGAGATCAGAAACCATCTCTTTTGCTTGACCTCGGCTGCCAGAATCATCATCCGCGCTGCCGAGGGCGCGAAACACCGAACAAAAACCGCCGCACGGCCGGTTTTTCGGCTTGGCCACAAAGCTGGCTAAGCCGCTAGCGGTGCCATCTCCGGCGACGAAAATATTCCACTACCACCCACAGGGGAAAACCCTACGGCCCCACAATCCCAGGTAAAACTCGTAGAGCCGGTATGAACCGGTTCTCAGAATGATTTGAGAACCATTCTCGTGGGTAGATCCTGAATGATTAGCCCAGGCGTAAGCACAAACACAGATACATGCATCGGAAAGGCACACACGCACACACACACACACAGAAGCAAACACACAGACGGGCGGGCAGGCAGGCTGACTGACTGACGTACCTGTCCGACTGACTGACTGACTGACTGACTGACCGACCGACTGACTGACTGCCAGACTGGCAGACTGGCATGCCGACAGGCCAACAGGCTGACAGGCTGACAGACTGACCGACTGACTGACTGACTGCCTGACTGACAGATTGACTGACTGACTGACCGACCGACCGACTGACTGGCAGACTGACAGACTGATAGACTGACACAGACACAGACACAGACACAGACAGACATGCTGACAGAAAGAATGACACGAGCGAGCTAAAGCAAAACTCGCATGGCCACAAGCAGCTAATGTTGCCCATGCCCATGCCGGGGACGCAACGGGTCACGACAGACCAGGCCATATGGATGGAGACTTGGTCAGTTCCTGTCAGATTGTGTCACGGTCAAAACGCGCTGTGTATTGAGGCTTTTGGGACAGTCTTGAAGCCTTTACACGTAAAAAACTATAGCCGTCTCTGGCAACCGCTCGCCTGGTTTATTTATGGGGGTCCTCCCCAGTGACAATACTTCCGAACCTTAGTTGGGGTCAGCCAAGTGGTTGTGATGATCTTGTTCAAGCAAACTGAGACCCGTGGTAATGCTCTCCAACTGTTTTCTTTGGAGCTCAAGCCTGCTATGGTCAACCATTGTATAAGGTAAAGGCGGGTAAAGGTTTCCATTGAGGGACTCCGGATCGATACCCCACCCCAGGGGAGTTTACTTCTGACCCACATGACAGGTCCGTCGGCTCCTACTGCAGCAAGAACATGCCGGGGGTCTTGGAAAAAACACATCTTGAGACGGGCAGCCTTTGGAATACATTCCCCCCTCACAATTGGTTGAAGCTCCGTGTAAATGATTGTCCACCAAGGGGGTGCAGCGAGTTTTCGTTCCTTTGGCAGGTTCCTTTTAGCCTTTCTGTGTGGAATCACCTTTTTCTGCGTGCATGTCTTTAAGTTGTCTCTTTCACCTTGGCTCACAACTGTCCAGTGGTCACTTCCCCCCATTCTTCCAAGCTCGATTGGTTTTTGTGTTGCATGGCCCCATACTTTCTCACTTTTTACCGAGCGGCCCTCAAATGGGGTTGTGGGGCAATCAAATTACTTCATGCCATTTTGCCGCCTATAGTCGGACCAGTCAGGCCTGAGAACCGACTCTGGAAGGCGAGTGACCGAGAGAGGGTGCATGTGGGTCATAGGGGGCGGCTCTTTTCAGTCGATTCCTTTGGTTTCTGCCAACCCGGCGGCCACTGGATGGTTGGCTTTCTGTTGCCACAACGATCCCAAAAGTGCCCTGATTGCACAAACAACCTTTTGTTTTTTTTATTCCACGCGACAATCATGGCCTCGGCTTGGCAGAAAATGCCAGATGGCCCTTCACCTACATAGAGGGGGACCCTACAAAGTGTGCACCCGCAAAAAGCCGCGAACTTACAGCTGCCCAAGTTGAGCAGCGACTCAGATGTTCTTGCCATGCGCTTTCTGACCTTGAACCCCCCAGCCCTGCACATACGAGCTGAGTCAAACGTAGCCCAACGCAAGGCAAGACGTGCGCTGGCAGGGTCACATGTTTTTTGCGTCGGTGGCCGAAGCATCACTTTTCGGGTGTTTGCTTTTGCTGTGGCTGGGGCTTGGGGACAAAACAAGACACCATATTGAAGGCGTTCCCCATGGTAACCACCAGTTGGATGGTTATAGGGGGGATTCCATTTCTCATTCCCTTCTGAGCACCAGCAAGTATTTGGACCTGAACACCAGGTTTGGATTGTTCCACTTCAGTGGCCGCCAGAATCCTTTGGCGTTCGGTGGATGCTCCCAAAGAGGTTCCCTTCCAGGGTCACTGGCATTTGGTGGGGGAACACTGTTGAACAGGTTTCCTTTTGAGAAAAAGATAGCCCACATAAATTCCCTTCAAACGAGAACAATGTTCCCTTTTGACCCAAGCCACTCTTCACTCGATCCTCGGCCATGCGCTGCCAGCTGCCATTGAGTCCATCGCCAGGCCTTTGCCCCCACCTGGGCCAAGCTAAAGGAGCGAGAACCGCAGGCGCATGGATCGATCCGTCCTGCGGTCCAAATGTATCGGTTCAAACCTTGAGCCGGTTCAATCTGAGTGTACTTTTGTGGTCAAAGCCCTCTTTTTGGCACACTGCTGGGCTCAGAAGGTTGGTTTTGGCCGTGGGGCTTGCTGAAGACTGTGCAGCAGGTTTGACCTTCTCTTTGCCTGAAATAGCCTGGCTTCCTTGTGCATGCTCCATGCTGGAGCATTGCGTTGAGGCCAGTCGTTTTGCTTCAGAATCGAATAGGTAACGTGTTTTGCTGGTTTACTTAGTTCTGGTGGCTTTTGGGTGGGTTTGGGGTTGGCTGAGGCTTGGCAAGGGGGTAGCATCATCCACGAAGCAGATGTGAGGGTGAGCGCGAGCTTGGGGTTGGCACGTACACGCTGGCGGTCGAGACAGCGCAAACAAACCAGCCATCATCAAGATGGGCGCGAAGCCAAGGGCAACGCATGTCGTGCTCCCCCTTGTCTGTACTCCCGCACAAATCAAAGACACCAGTAAGGGCCTGCGCATGCGCAGACGGATCAGCCGCCGTAACCCGGCCCCTAACCCACCAGGTCCAGCGCCCCCTCAAGCCAATTTGTCAAACATCACAACCTATCTATGACAGCTAGAGCGATGAGTTTATTTGTTTGCAATCGTCTTGGTTCTAGCAACGACACAAGATGGCAGCAGGCCGCAAGGGGCTGCGTCCCTGAATTGTCGCACAGCTTCGCCAAGTATTTGCGCAAACAAAGGCGCGCTCACCCAGGGGTAAACCGATGTCACCCTTGATGAAGGTCCCGAAGCGGTATTTCCAAATTAGGGATTGTAGTAATATGCCCAGCACACAGCACACAGCACACTGTCACAAACACAGACACACACACACAAACACACAAACACACAAACTCACAAACTCACAAACAAACATGACAAACACACAAAACACACAAAACACACAAAACACACAGAACACACAAAGCACACAAAACACACAACACACACAACACACAACACACACACACAACACACAACACACAACACACACACACCACACACACACACACAACACACACAACACACAGGCGCACACACACACAACACACACACAACGCACACAACACACACACACAAAACGCGCACAACACACACAACACACACACAACACACACACAAACACACAACACACACACACAACACACACACAGACACACAAACACACAAACACAAACACACAGATGCATAAACATGCATACACATGCATTCATGCAGTATGTATGTATGTATGTAATGTAATGTAATGTAATGTAATGTAATGTAATGTAATGTAATGTAATGTAATGTAATGTAATGTAATGTAATGTAATGTATGTATGTAATGTATGTATGTATGTATGTATGTATGTATGTATGTACTGTATGTATGCATGTATGTATGTATGTCAATTTCTGTATGTATGTATGCATGTATGTATGTATGTCATTCTATGTATGTATGTATGTATTCAAACTTTCTTGGCCTGGATGGGTTTGGCAGAAAGAGGATTGAGAGCACGCGCCTTGATTGATTGATTGATGGTTCAAGTCAGGCTAGCTGCAGGGCGCACATTTTCTTGGGTATGAAACGGCATTTTCATGGACACGGCCATGGCCCTGCGCTTGTGCCCTCCTTGACAGTGCCTGCAGAGGCAATACCCTTGACAGTGCCTGCAGAGCCTGACTTTTCGCAGTTCTTCCAATCTGGCGTTCATTGTGCAGTGATCGAGCGCATGCGCCGTTCTGGGTTGATGTGCGATGCAGACATTGCTGGCCTGCGACCGGATGAGCTGGTGACAGCCATGTCTGGCTTTATTGACGATGAGGAAGCTGGATGGTACATCGAGCTTGCCCGTGGCGCTTTGGCATTCCTTGCCAGGCGTGCCAGTGGAGCCCCGCAGTGCGCTCGCCCTGTTGAAGGCCTCCCTGTGCCTGCTGTCAAACGGTGCAGGCTTGTGGGTAGCATTGCGCCGGGCGCCTTTCAGTGGTCGCAGAATGCTCTGACTGCCCTGAGGCCAGTTCACCAGCACTCTGAGATGGTCCATGCTTGCTGGGAGATCTATGCCGCCCTTGGCACGCATGGCGAGTTGTGGTCACCGTTGCTTGAGGAGCACCAGGCCATTGCTCGCGAAGGCCTGGCGAGTCGGCTGCAGATCTTTGAGCGGCGCACTCTGCAGGCGCAACTCAGCGCCCTGAGGCGGTGGGCCAATTATGTGTTGCAGTTTGGCAAAGGGCCTGCAGAAGTTCTGTTGCCTCCGGTTTGGTTTCGTTTTGCCCGTGGGGTTTCTCATATCGCACGTGAGCGCTCCCAATCCCAACCTGTTCCTTGGTGCCGTGGCACTCCGTTTGCGGGAATTCCCTTGGAGTGGGGCATCGGAATAGAGCCAGGCTTGCAGATTTGTGCCAAATGCCAAGCCTGCGTTCCACCGCACATTAAACGAGCAATCGACTCCTGCAAATAGACAGTGAAAGAATTCTGCGGCTGTGCGTAATAGGTCAGTGTGTTTGCCACTAAATTTCCTGACAACACAAGACACGCGGGTTTCAGGGCTTCGGGGGCCTTACACTCATGTTTTGTGGCCCTTCGGCCCTCGGCCTACATTTATGTCTTGTTGGCCCCCCTGTTTCTTTGCAAGCTTCAGCTTTGGCAAAGGCTTCTTGTTGCGGGGTTGTGCCTACTCTTATTTGATTTGT